AAGACCCTGATCCAAAAGGATGTGGAGGTCGCATTTTTAAGTGTGCACTCTTTTAAGCTTGAATTGCAACTTGTAATGTTCTTTCACAGGAGATAAATCACTCTTTACACACAGGAACTTCGAGAGTAAACAACAAATACGATTCAATTTTACTAAGAGCTGTGGTTTTGGACAAGGGTTTGGGTCGAGTAGATGTTGACGTCACTGCTCTCTAAACAGAGATCTTCTGTGGTTAACGGAGACCGAATTGTGCTGAGGAGGAGAAACAGAGGAAGAGGAGAAGTATTGTGTGGTCTGTGGAAATTCCTCATGGGGAACATGCTGACCTGAAGGCTGACCTGTAAGCGTCAGCTTTTATGTGTGGTTGTGCTGTGGAGTGTGCTATGGGCATTTGTTTATGAGTCTTTGCTGTAGCGTTAGTGGGGGCCTTGGTATCACTAATCCTGCCATGTGCTCTGTTGGGCTGCTGTGTAAAACTTCAGTTTCAATTTCAGGTAATCATCTTACATGTCACCACAGCTGCATGCAGCGAACACGCAGAGAGAGTTGTGGTAAGAGATAGCTGATATGATAAGATAGTTCCTTTTAGGTAAATTTGTTATTGCAATAAACTCAACTAAATGACATTAACTGGATAATTATTTCTACAAAAGCAGTTTAATAATGAATTTATCTGTATACTGACTAATAAAGTAGTTACTCAATGTATGAGAAACTTGTACACCATCAGTTGCATGTACTCTCTTGAACAGATTTAAGTATTTTCACCTCAATAATGAAGCTAAAAGCATTTTAGTAATGTGATGTTATACACTGCATACAAATTACATTGTTAAACGGTTTTTATCATATTATCATTTGCTGCAGGGATGCTGCGACAGGACATGCTGGACATGTGGCTGCTCTGGGGTTTGACCCAGTGACCCCTCCTTTCTCTCATGAGACTGTCAGTCGCACCAGTGGGCTGTCCTCTCCGGTTAGAAGCTGTAGCTACAACAGAGGATTAATGTGTTCACATTGGCTGCTCGGACATTGTTTAAACCCCCCCCCCCAGGAGTCTCCAAAGGGAGAACTCCCAGCTAAGGAAATCTCAACGGGTCCCATCAAGCAGAACGCACCTAATCATAATGTTTTTTTTCTCCAACAGACTGTAACACTATGTCCAGCCAGGCCGAAACACTCAGACTGAAGCAAAAGCCAGAAGAGTGGATGCACTGGTATAGCTCACGTGTATGTACATCGTATGAACTGGATGTAGAGACAGGGGTGTGTCCAAGAAATGAATCTCAGCCCCCAAAAACATGAGTGCAACAGTGTGTGTGGATGTGTGTAAACATCTGAGTGTTTACGGGAATTCCCAGTGAGATTTGCAGAATAGATTTACCCTGAACAACTAACCCTTCTTCCTACAAACCCCATCTCTTGCTGGGACTTGCGGTTTCTCAACATGAACACTTCCCAGGTATTTCAACATTTTCAGTGGTGTCTTCATACCCTCACACTTTCACACTCCCGCACTCCCACACACACAAACACAAAGTGAAAGAAGTTCATCACTCAATTTTTCCAATTCTTCAGTGATTATTATCAGAGCAAACCACACTTTTCTCAGTTTGAGCCACAATCTTTCTGCATGAATCATCTTCTGTCGGAACTGTCTAATTATTCACTGGAAGATCTTGGCTGGCAAATAAAGGGCACACATGCTCCAACCAACCAATCCACCAACCAACCAACCACCATTTTAAGGCACATACAGGCTCTGAATTCTTCCCTTGAGGTCAAGACTCATTCTGGCTGATGATGAGAGGAACAATGACGGGCACTGTGCACACACTCTATGTGGCTGAAAATGTCCCAATTTCATTTCAAGGCTGCATTGTTGAAACATATATGAAAGCAGCATGACCTTTGCCCTTCTTGTAACAGGCTGGATACTTTCTCTTTGCATGTTTTTTGTAAATGTTTCCATACCCCAGTAAAGGGAATATTTTATCAACATGCTGTTTATGCTTTCTGTTTCTTTCTGCAGATGTTATGCAACCGAGAGCTAATCTGGTCAAACACCCCCTCCAGGACTTGATAAGGTCTGTTTATAGTTCTAGGCGACAGAGAGTTAAGGAGGATTACATGTGACTGTTGGTGCAGTTATTTAGTTTACCTCCCTCCTTGCAGACACTGAGCTCATTCCACCGCTGGTTATTAGCTCAGTGCTGCCTCTGATTTTAGAATGAGTGGGGCTGTTGTGCTAGCACAGGCAAGACGTCTCTTTTTTTGTCAAACCACTTCCTGACAAATGATTACTTAATGCAATGTTCTGTCTCCTGCATTGTATGCTTTTTTTTTTACATTTTTTTTTTATTGTCTTCTCCTTCCCTAGTTACGAAAGTTGTGTTGCAAGCGAGTGCTCTTTTGACCCTGGAGAGTGGCAAAACATTTTATAGAACAATAATAATACCTGTTGACCCATAAAACCAAGGTGGGACTGTGAATACTAGAGAAGTGGAATGCGATTCTGGTGTTACTGTGGGAAAGTGGTGCAGATATCTAAATGGGCACCGGCCACATTAGTGTAATAACAGCTATTTCCTCTTGAATTTATCTTGCGAGCCATGCAGGGAAAATGGTTGATTAGCCTTCACTGAGACCCCCCACCCCACCCCCACCCCGGGCTAGATCCATTAAGTAGGATAGGCGCTTCCCTTGTCATGTGATCTAGAACTGTGGAGTGAGTCTGAGGACGAGGACCTCAACCCCCTCCCCACCTCGCCCAAACCAGCTCCTCTTCCCTTAAAGTTCACACATACTGCGGTCCCTGTCAATGCCCCAGCAGAAATTAATCCTGACATGAGTTCTCAACACACCAGAGGGTCTCCGTTCATTTGGGACTGACAGGACTTCAAAGCAGCCATTAAGAGGTTGAATGGAGAAAGCATGCTGTATTTAACACAGGGGAACAGGATCGTAATGCTATAAGTTAAAGGCTACATCCTTGCTTGTTATTGTCTCCACTAAGACTTGGAGGATGGTACTGACTGTGATGACCCTGGTGAAGACAAGCCTCTCAGCCATAACACTGGTGTTGTGTTGTGTTGTGTGACCATGGAGGACTCCAGCAGTCACTTTAAATTACTTGTATATCATGTATTACTAAAGGCTGATTTGTGGAAATGAAGTAGATAAAACTACTGGGGGGAAAACAAAACAAAACTATTGTTAAACCATCTTAGAAGTATAGAAAAGTTTATTTGTGTGAAATCGTTCTATTTTCTTCGCATCACTTGCACAATGAAAACGTCACAGATCCTCGGTCCATCTCACACTGTACAAGAATGCTTTGATGCATCTGAGATTACCGGAGCGATGCAGAACAGAATGTATGTGATGACAACCAGTGCAGCATCTGTGTTTTCTCACCCTGCAGTCTGCTGGGAAGGAGAGGTCAGGCTGATTAGATAACTGTTGTGTATGCAGAGGAGCCTGCTGGGCTCACGTGAGGGGTCCGATCCCTGATACATGTGTGCTTATACAACCATAAGACATCAGTGGTGTGTACACAGCTTCAGGTTCTCGACATTCGGCACCATTTTCATTGAAAGATGGGAACAATTGAGAAACTACCAGAAGTTACATCAGTGCACTTGTAAAGGAGGAAGGTGGTGGTTTATTTTCTAAAGAGATGTAAAAATATTCAGTTGGAACTGTATTTACTGACCTAAGTCATTTTCTCTCGGTTCATAATTTCGGTTAGTAAGTAAGTTAAGAAAATCTGCATATTTTTTCTTAACTGGGATTGAAATGTCAAAGTAAACTGTGATTTCCTGTTTTGCTCTGCCTGACCTTTGGCCCAGATGACAACAGTCACGAATACCTGGTGATCAGATAAAGACTGTGCTGAACACACAGCCTGAATATTGACTGACTCATTGATTCAGTTGTGCATAATGATCAGTGAAGTGTGGTTACCTTCTTGAAATGACTTGTTAGGACCAGTCCTGAACAGGTTCTAGTTCACGGTGCTTAGTAGGCCTGTGGTCAGGTTGCAGTTGCTCAGATGATGAAGGCGCTGCTGCAAGATGAGGTGAACTCCCTCAGTGTCAAATTGTACTTGTTTGTTTTCACAACAGCCCTAGTCTTTAACCCTGTCCTTTTGCTCGCTCACATGGCCTCGGAGCCTCGGCGTTCTAGGTAGGGCATGAATAAAGCGCCGCTGACTGACTTTCAGGTTATGTCAATAAAGTTAGAGCGCCATGTGCTTTCTGTTATTCATTCTCACGCTGTGCCGACTCCTCGCTGATGCCATATCGTTTGAAAATTTGTCCACAGCAGGACAAATATTTCACACATCTGTTTTTCCAGTAAACTGCAAACAGGACTTTTTTTTTTTTTTAAATTTAATTTAAATTTTACTTTGATGTTGTTTCTTTTATTTTATACACATATGAGTGTGAGCAATTAAAAATAATGCTGCGTGACTATTAGAAGGCATCCTGATTTATTGTGTGGCTGTACTGACTGTTCTGTTCTGGTGCAGAGGACCGGCCTTGTCGGTTGCCATATCGATAAAAACACCATGTCCTTTGTGGGGGAGGAAAACAACATTTAACAGGATGATAAAATGGAATTCCTATCCAGGTCAAGTTAAACATAAAAGACACTTCACTGTTTCAGCTCCTGTCTGGCGCCAACTGATCCACTCACTGTGCTTCAGTAAATCACCGTGGCATACAGTAAGTAAGCATTTACTGTTTGCCTGAAAAAAAATTTTTGTCAGTTACATATATAAAGACTTCCTCTTCTCCATCACTGGTTGCTACACAGGAAGCTGGCATGACCCAGCCTAGTCGGAGTCATAGAGACCAGACGCTCTAGTTCCACTTCCACTTCTTTACCTCCTCATTTGCATGTAGGACACACATTAGTTCAGCAGTTGAAGCTGTTTAACCTCGTTAATAAAAAAAGGTAACTCTAAATGAATGACACTCCACTCAGGGTTTCGCTTGTTTTAGACAGTACATGACTTTTATTCATCACTGTGGCATGAGTGCAGTATCTGGAATTCCATGTCAGTGCATTTAATGGCAATTAACACTATTTAATACAGTCTACAATGAAATGCCGCCAGAACAAAAAAAAAAAAGGCACTTCTGTAACCTATTTGTAATTCACCATAAAAAACAAAAATAACAAAACAACACAAAAACAAAGCCCTGTACAATTTATAGCTTGATATAACTTTATGTTAATTTAATAGATACTATTCTAAAGTTAGCACCACAACTTACCACAGAAATGTTCAGATACACCGGCACATTTGGCATTCAATATCATAACTGTCCTGCTGTTCAGTGATCACATTCCCTTCCAGGTCACTGGCAGAGTAATTGTGCTTAACACGATTTCCACAGGAGAGGGAAATGAATAAGTAGTAATAAATAAAGTAATAAATCCACACATGCGAATGCGGGGTCATGTAGCAGTAATACTGCAGAGCAGAGGTCCAAACATTTGCCCTGAGATGAAGACTAAGATCAGATAATATTTCTTTGGCAGGTGCCTCACAAAGCACTCCAAAATAAAATCCATTCCTGTGATCTCATGGAGGTTTTTCTGACTATGGAATTTAATACAACCCCACTGTCACACTGAAGACTCATTTTGGAAGACTTTAGCTTTCAGGTTCCTCAGGCTGCACTGCAGGTTGGAGCTGGTTTCTGACTGCAGGGCCTCGGAGAACTTGACATCGTACGTGCGGCCCGCCGTCGACTTCCTCTTGATGGAGTTCTGGATGGTCTCTGAGGTGAAATAGTAAACAATGGGATCAAAGCAGCAGTTGGATACAGCGATGCAGAGGGCTACTGGGTAGATGGTTCGGACCACAGACTCCACATAGCAGCCTTTTAGAGTTTTGGTGCGGACCAGAGCATAGAACACCAAGTTTACATTGTAGGGGATGAAGCAGAAACAAAAAATAAAGAGATGTACAATTATCATGCGCAGGATCTTTGTTTTGTTCAGCTTCCCCCCACGGCTGATGGTCTGGGGGCGACGCAGCGTCTGCAACACCATTATGGAGCAACATACGTTCAGTAGCAGCGGGATGAGGAAGCCCACCGTTTCTATGAAGATCACCACCTTGGACAGGTGAGCCTTCCACTGCTTGGAGGAGAAGTTCTCGAAGCAGAAGGTAGCGTTCGTCTTGTTGTTCTCTTGTGAGGTGGTCTCCAACATGAACCCCGTGGGGAGGCTCCCTGACAGAACCAGCACCCACACAGCAGTGCACACTATCCTAGCATTGCGTTTAGTCCTGAGCGTCCTCGAGCGAAAAGGGTGCACGATGGCCAGGAAGCGGTCCACGCTGATGCAGGTGAGGAAGAGCATGCTGCCGTACATGTTGGTGTAGAACAAAGAGACGGAGACCTTGCACAGCGTGCTGCCAAAGGGCCAGCTCTGGTTGATGAAGTAGAAGACCCTCAGAGGCAGCGTGAAGACAAACAGCAGGTCAGACAACACCAGGTTCATCATGTAGGTCGTGGTCTCGTTCCTCAGCTTCAGAGTGCAGGCGAAGATGTAAATGGCCACGACGTTGGTGATCAGCCCCACCACAAACACAATGCTGAAGACGGTGCTGTACAAAGGGTACTTGAACCCATCGTTCTTGCTGCAGTTAGAGCTGTTGGCTGAGTTATTGTCCACCCATGGTGCGGTTAAACTGTAAGTCGAGGGGGTGTGGTTGTACATTCTGAGAGACAAAGAGTGGAGGGATGTCTGTTATGTAATAGCTATATAATGAAAGGGCTGCCCCACACAGCAAATCCACCATGAATGGATAGAAAGGCAGAGAACAGGATGCTCTGAAAGACACTCAGGCCATCAGCGCAAAGATTTCTTCCCCAACACCACTGTCCAGGTTAGAGAGGGCTGCTGCACATGGTCAACATGATTCCTTCCTGTGTATTGATGTTAGTTATTTTGCGGGTTACCTCATGTTGAAAAGAGTCCCTCACAGAGGACAGAGATTCAGGCTGGAGCGTCCTCCCCTCCCCCTGCCCTATCTCTCCACCAGGCTGCACCCCCACGAGTTGCAGACTGAGCTTTACTTACTCAGATAAATCAAGTCACACAAGATGTGTCCACCTTTTCACTCAGGAAGTCCCCAAACACTGCGAACTGCTGGCTACGCAAATGGGAATGATGGCATATCCACATCCAGGTCTGTTAGAAATTGTCCTCATGGCATAATCCCTCCACTTTGACAAAATTAAGTCCGGTGTTTTTGTCCTTTTCAGCTCCACAGCAGCAAAGTTGTCCTCAGCTTTCCACTTCTCACAAGGTCCTGACCACAAACCACAAGGCTTCTCCACAGGACCCAGAACTGAAGCTGGTAGTTCTTCTCCTTCTCTCCATGCGTGTGTGTGTGTGTGTGTTTGTGCATGTGAGTGTGACTGTTTCTCCTCAGGGTCTGTTTCCTGTCCCCCCTCTTTCTTTCTCTTTCGAACTGGCTGAGTCACTCAGTATCTACTTCTCTCTCTCTCTCTCTGCTTGTCTCTCTTGCTGACAGCTTCAGGGGTTTTGCCCGGCACACACCATTCTCAGAGTTCCTACTTCTCCTTTGTGCTTGTATGGCAGACAGTTTTTGTACTTTGAGTGGAAAGCAGCTGTAGTAACTCCTCCCACTGCCTCCAGTCCAGCTCCTCCCACTCCTTTGTCCTGCTCTTACAGTTAAAGAATCAGCCAGAACACTGGCTTGTGAGGGAATTCATCAAGACTTTGTCATGTGCTCAACGGATCTTGATGAATGGATACACGTTTAAAATAAATGTTCTGAGATATTCTTACTTGAGCAGCAAGTGAGCAAGAGTTAAAAATGTAATATTGTAACTAAATAATCTTAAAGCCATTTCACGAATCAACTTCGAAAATGTGCAAATAAAGAAAAGAAAGTTATTAGTTGCATTATGAGTTAAGACTTTTTTTTTTTTTTTTTTGCCAAACTGTGATGTGATGAGTAAAGATCACAGGCCTCAAAATGTATTTTCGTGAATTCTCAAACCCTGTACAACCGCTCACAGCATCAGTGGTGGAATATAACTACACACATTTACTCAGCAACTGCTCTTTTATTTTTAAATCAAAGAAATATTTTAATTCACTATATTTATATAGTCACAAGTTACTTTGCAGATCAAGCTACAAACCCTATGATGATCTAACTAATAATAGTACGATGATGTGATACTTGGTAATATTATAAAACTGAAGCGATTTTTTTTAAGTATATTTTAGTGCTAATGCTTGTGTGCTTTCACCCCTGTAACATTTTAAATGCGGGACTTGTAAAGCTAAAGTTGTATTGCTACTTATAAATGAAGATGAAAAATCATTTAAAATCTAAATCTGGTTGGTGTTTGATTTGTTTTTTCTTCATCGGTCGAGCTGTTACTGAGGACACGGGGTCAAAAGTGCCTGTGAGCAGGTCAGTAAACCTCTGCATTAGCCCGGGGTGATTGCCTCCACAGGTCTGATGGGAGGTTACAAGAAAACTGAACTGTCTCCTTGTTGTTTTTGTGAGCCTGCGTGGGCAGCACAGCTCAAGAAGAACAGCGTTTTATTCTGAGAGGGACACTGGAACAGAGAGCTTTCTCTATGCCGTGGTGTTTTCAGCTGCCCTTGTCAGTCCATGCCCACAGCTTTCTCTTCTCGGGGCCCTCTGTGAAACTATAGCATTCGAGCGCTCTCCTTTATCAGAAGCTCTCAACTTGCCAGCCGGTATAAACACTGGGGCTTTTGTAGCTCAGCAGGGAGGAATCTGCGGTTTATAAATAATCAGTCTCAGACAACTTGAAAGTGCTCTCAGCTACTTGATCGGCAGCGATGGTGAGTGAATTCTGTAAATTGTTTGAGAGTATTTGTGTTGGATGACCGATGCTGTTTCAAAAAGGAAGTACACTACCTGATTGAGTTTCCCTTCAGTAAATGAACACTGGTGTGGCACTTCTTTTTTTTTTTTCCCTGCTCTTTACTCTTACACTTAGATAAGATAAAGATAACTTGTTCAGCTGCTTTTTATTACTTACAATAATATTTCCCCGTGTGGAACTGACTCCAGTGATACAAACATGTCTAGTTTGGTAACATGATACTAATCCAGAGACGGTTCATTTCGACTTCACAGAGCCACCAACAATAGCCAAACAAATGAAGGAAAAAATCTTGCAGAGAATCAAAGAGACAGAGGGTGTTTTATGGCCAGTGTGACTCTCTTTGTCAGCCCGCCACAAAATAAACACCATCAAAGCCTGAGTGAAATGTTCAAGAAAATAGAAAAACCTGTACTATTGTCTTCGACTCGCAAAATAGTTCCATCCAGCGCATAAAAACAAGCTCTTCACATGCAAGTATGTGGTTGCTAAACAAAAACATGTGCCTGAAACCCCTGGACTGTTAAATTTCTCACAATGCCAGGAAATAGTCTGGCAACCCCCAAGGCCAAGACTGGAATGCCTTCAAATATACGAGAGAAATGCCTGAGAAAGATAGTAGGTGACATAATGTTGTTGTGCAATGATCATCAGCGCGTGGTGTCTGCATCTGACGACAACCTCCGACTTTATAAATCATGAATTCAACGTTGGGTGACTCAACATAGACTTGAATTTACGTCATGTTTCTTTTAAATTGATGCACATGTGAAACCTAAAGTAGAAGAGCTTTGTATGGTGTAAGACAGAGAGAGAGAGAGAGAGAGAGAGAGAGAGAGAGAGCAGGTAGACTACACTTACCCTAGTGACACATTCAACCAGCCTGGGGCACATTTTGGTCATGAGACCAATACAGCTAATTAAATGCGACTTAATGACTTGATCCTTCAGCGTCAAACCTATTTGTGTTTGATCAGTGCAACATGAAAAACAAGCAGCTCGGATGAAAGCGGCTCAAGAAATGTCAAACTTGGCAAAAAAAAAAAAAAAAAAGGATGTTCTGGATTCACCGGGACTCGGGACTTGCCTTGGGGCAATTCTCTCACATTCACCTTGGAAACGGAGCCCGCACCGAGGTTGTGTTGGCATCTACAGACAAACAAACAAGTCAAACCAGCACAACCCAACAGAAGTGCAGTCCATTCACAACACAATCTCCCCTGAGGCCAGGGAAGTGTTCCAGGACTGCCACAGCAACAAGAACTCTTCAGTGAGTGTAAACCAGAGGCCTGACATGAATCACACACAGACACACACACACACACACACACACAGTAAGAAAATGGCTGTTAAGAGTGAAAACAAAAAATGTCACAAAAAGGAAAAGATGATTCCATTGTTCAACACTCATTCACAGTGAGGAAAAGCTCGTAGGAGAATAAAAACCTCTTCTTGAAAAGTTGAGTTGCACCTACGGTTTTACTGAGGTCAAAATTACAACTAAAATAGAATCTTGACATTTGAAAAAAAAAAGAAAAAAGAAAGAGTCTGATGGGTCTTTGAAGGGCAGAATGCTCCCCCACAAGCCTTATCAACTGGAGGCTTTGTAAAGCAAACACTCCCCGCCCACGTACCCACAAACACTTCACCCTCCCCAACCACCCACCCACCCACCCACAAACACTTCACCCTCCCCACTGGAACAGTGTGTACCTTAATTTAAAAAGCCCTTTTACTGCATGTCTTATCAACAGACTGTCAGCTTCACAACTCCTTTTCTTTTTTATGAGTCTCTGTAGAGCCAACAGTGTCTGATTTTCCCACTTCACCAATCATTTACATGTTTCACACAGCAGCAAGCACTATAATCTATAATATAGTGGCCTGACTGCTAGACCACTGGTCTAATTCTGCATTGAGGGTATAAAAAAAAGGCTGCATGCTTGAATGACTGTGCAGGTACTGAAGTTATTTATGAGGGAAAGACGAGTCAGCAGGTGTTTGTTGGTTTCAGTCATACAGGAAACTCATAAAAAATTGAGATAACATATTTGTGAAGTCTGAAAGGAGTGTGCCTGAAGAAGCGTGTCTGAACTGATCTAATAGTAGTGAGTAGTGGAGCCAATCACAGGGGCCACAAGCCGATACAGCCATAGCAACCTGTCAAAGCACACTGTGGTCTTGGTCCGATCTGGTATTTACCATCCGTCTCGGGTGATTTGATCACAAGTGATCGGCTCTAAGTGCAAGACCATCACTCAGACCATCACTTAAGCCCTTGATGGGTTTCTTAACTGACCTGCGTATTCTCTTCTTAAAAAAAAAAAAAAGATATACAATGTATTTGTAATGTTTGATATATAATAAATCCATGGGGCCACGTGGCCACATTCCTTTAGCAGTGTGATTGCAAATGTGTCCTGCCCGCCTACTCTACTGACATCCTCTACCACAGTCTAATTAGTCCTGCCATAGCTTCATAACGAAACCTTCATGAAGCACATGAAGTGCAGCTCTCTTCTATCAAGCCAACAACTCCCTGCCTGCTAAAGTAGCAACACTATTTTTAGCCCAAAAAGATGATTACTTATTTCAACTTACAGACAATAAAGTTGGTGGAAGGCATAGTAAGTGTGTTAAGTCACGATTTACAATGGCTTTTAGATGTTTGCATTGCAGATTTTTACTTATATATAATTTACTGTATGTACCCCCCCCCCCCCCCCCCTCAGACCAGCTCATTTAAATATTTCTTACACATTGATGCATGTTACTGTGAACACTTCTCAACTGTTACTCAAGCTACATTTTGAATGCAGAACTTGTAATTAAGTATTTTTTCCTTAACATACAGCTGTTCTTTTCTTAACTAAGAAAATGATCAGAATATTTCTTCACATCTTTTTTTTTTTTTTCAAAGGAAAGTCAGTGTGACTAAATGAATGCTTTAGTTCATGTTTGTGTCCCAATGTCGTGAGATTCGTATGTGGCACAGCACCAGTTAGCATTGCAGCTGTCTGCAGTTCCTCATTTCCATGCAAGTTGTGTGTCAACAATGTTGAGCAATCTCGTGCCTCTTTGTACACACGTTCAGTTTGAGGCCTTTTCCAAATAACATATTACCTGAACTGAATGCCCAATAATGCATACTATAGTATTAAAAGACCTTATGCTCAAAGCCATATGCACATAAAAATGTAACATCATTTGTTTTGGGAGCGGCCATTAGCTGGAACCAAGTAACTGAATTATCGTCTGTGAGCTGCTGATCTGGCTATCATCACAATATGCCCAAACACACTTTCAGCGTGGGCTCGGCTTACTGAGAAGCTCATGGTGTTTTAGTTTAAGTTGAGACTGTATCAGAAATAAATTCAGCACTCTTTGACAGCACGCTTATCTTGAAAGGTGCTCCCGTTACTCTGACCACATCCTTTGACTTTCTGGCAAGACAGATATTCAACTGAGTGATGTGACATTATAAGGTTGCACATGAGGGAAAAAAACAGGTATACATGAAGAACATAAGGAAGATTCTTAAAATGTGTCTGTTACAACTCAGTTCAACCTGAGTCAGATTATCTGTACACGAGTTCAAATCATCTCCATTTCCTGTTTAAATGACACAAGTAGTAATCATAGGTTCTATAATAAGTAGGTATCTTAAAACATGAAATTTCATTTGGTCTTGTTTCAGTTAGTAGCACATGAATCAACAGTTCAGTGACTGTTGCAAAGTGTTTTTACAAAAAGATGAACTGTGGGAGGCAGGTGTAAAAACCACAGCGTGAACTCGGGATACTCCGCAGGCATTCAGCACAGAAATGAAAAGATATACAAGTACCACAAGCTTTTGTTTGATGGTTTAGATCTGCAACTGGTTAAAACAGAGTTCAGTTTCGCTCAGTTTGTGTGTTTTGAAACTTGTAGCAAACTGGTCATTTGTGCAAACCTGGTACTGTGTGAGCTGGATATTTTCCTCACTATTTCCTTATACATGTATGTGAAGGCTGTTAATTATTCCATAGCAGACAGCAATAACACATCCATCAAACTGGCCAGTTATTGATTTTAATACATTTTAGATTGTCAAATGTTACCTTAAGTGCCACTGTCAGCAGTGTGCAGCATTTTCCATACAAAATGAGAACACACAGGCATTTTTTTTTTTTTTGTGATTATCAAAATCAAAAAAACAAAACAAAACAATAATTGGCTTGTTAAAGTAAAAGCATTTTGTTACATTCTATCGAGACAGATGTTAAAGAGCGTGTGGTCCTATACTGTATGAGACTTGGGCTATATTCAACACAGTCACAGTTGGCATTGACACTAAGCTAGCCCTATTTAATTACAATGGGGTGCTACCCGGGGAGAGATTGAAAGAAACACTTGTAAAAAGAAGCAGAAGTTTGCTGCCCCACATATTAATAATAATTAAAAAAAAAAACAAAAACACAATGAACCAAACTTTTGTAAACATACCAAATTGCAATGAAACACAACTGAAAAAAAACAAAACAAACTCAGCTGCATCTACAGTGTAACATCGTCGACAGGAACCAGTATGCTTGTGTAAGTCAGACACTGTTTTCAGCTGCACAGAGAGGGTTAATCTGAACACAAGTAAACATGCAGTGGGATGATCGCTCAGAAAGTGTAACTGCACCTTTTTTTTTTGTTACCATCGGTCTGTTGACGGTGGCCAGAGCAACTGTCTACAGTAAAACAGTGCAAATGTTAAGTCATATACAAACATCAAACAGCAACCATAACTTTGGATGGCAACGGTGAACTGCAATATAAAAACACAAAAGTGGCAAAAATGTAACAGTGACTTACACAAGAGAACAGATTATCATCAGATCAGATATAAACTAGATTTGATCAGAACAAAAAAAAAACAAAAAGAACTTAAGTTGCAGTTTTGTAAAAACAGAAGAACAGCTTGCGTGGTTTTCCTCATTAAATACTATTTCTCAATCCACACAGTTTTGAGAATCAAGGCTTCGGAGAAAAGCAGCACAATGTGAAAGGACAATGCATGTATGACTTATTTGTGTCTGATCACTCCCTGTCACTACTGATCAGACATAATGTACTACAGTGTGATATACACATTTATCATTTGTTTAACTAAGGGCAGTGTTCTTAAAAAAAAAAAAAACTAAAAAAAAAAAAAACACATTTACTGCAGTGTTTCTCTTTATGTTTAGCGTGCAGGACTGAGGACAGCCACTGCACCAAATCTGTCAATTTACAAAGCAGACAGCGAATCAGCCAAGCACAAAGTCAACAACACAGAGACCACAATTGTGGCGCATCTTTCTGTTCAGCTTCTGCACTGTCTGCTTGTGACTGGACTAGTGGTCTAACCCTTATATTTACCCCCTACCCCCCCTCAAGCAACCAGTGTGTTTGGGCAAGGCCTAGGCGGGGGGGGGGGGGGGGGGGCAGCACAGAGGCATCAGCTAGAGGGTGAAACCTTAAACTATGCGCCTCTCCAGTGTTTACACCCCCGGTGACAAGTCTTTGAAGTGCTGATCAGCCTCGTGTTTACTTTGGTCTAGGGTCGACTCTCAGCACCTCAGTGAGCTTAAACCTCATCGTGTTGGATCCGTCACTACTGGGGGCGCTCTAGTCAGTTTTTGAAGGCCCCGTAGCGGCTGGCTTTGCTAATGAAGTTCTTGAGCAGGTCGTGGTCCATGTCTGCAAAGGCCTGGGTCTGCGTGACAGCCGTTAGGTGGTTGACGCAAAACTTGAAGCAGAACTCCTCCAGGTCCTAAAAATGAAGAGGGCTGTCTGGTCAGTGCTGAGGAGTATAACTGACTAGCTACTGTGAAGGCACCCACCACCACCACCATCACCATGGTGACTGACTGTGTGTCAGGGGCTATGAGCTTACCCGCGCCTCATACTTGACAGCGGCTGAGAGTAGAGTGATGGCGTTCTCCTCAGAGATGCCTCTCTTAATCGTTTCCTGGCACAGTCTCTTCAGCCTCGTCTCTCGGTAGAAAGTGGCCAAATCTAGCAAACCTATACACACACACACGCACGCACGCGCGCACACACACGCACGCACGCGCGCACACAAACACACACACGCACACACAGGTCAGTAGGTGTGCTTCAGACTTAAGCACTGACTCCATTCATAGTGGGCTCAGTGTATTAAGGTCTGTGGCTCATCTCTGGGCTTACCAATAGCATCCTCTGGTGGCAGGTTGATAGTGTCTGTGTAGAGGTACTCCAGAAAGGCTCTGTACACCAAGTATGAGAACTGGTGGATTTCTATGGCGTCCTCATCGGTTTCGTTCAGTAGCGCCCGGAAATGCTCACACCTAGAGAGGGAAGAAAAGGAGCCGACGTTTCCCGTGATGTGCTAAAAAGGATGCCGCTTCCTGTTGTTGCCAACTTTTTACTAATGACGCCCGCCCATTCCACACCAGTGCTATTTTGCTCATCATGCTGTAGTGATCACAAAACAATATGCCACTTTCCAGGAACTGAAACCAAGGTTTTGAAGTAATCAACATTATCATTGTGAGGCAAAGCAGAGCAGTCTGCAAACCACATTACCACCCAATGAATAGTTTCAGGACCCTGCTAATTAATTTTCATACTGTGTGGAAGTCAGCGCCTATGAAGAGGGAAAAATATCTGCAAAGCATCATTTTAAAAACATTTAGTGGTGATATGAAGTAGTGAAAAATTGGCCATTTAAAGTATTTCTTCATTTCTATCAATTTGTTACATACAGTATGTTTGGTTGGTTGGTTGTTGTAGCTCACAGTGTTAAATATCATTAGTTTTCACTGTTCGATTGATTTTGATCTAAATCATGTTTTCTTTCCCATGTGTGATTTATATGAATCTCATCAGACCACAATTCATTAATAACCCTTAACAAGTATCACATGAACCGCTAGAGTCTTTTTTAATAACCTATGATTGTTATTGTTACAGTGCATCAAACTGAAAAAACACATTTTACAAATTCATGCACTTTTAAATCAAGATTCAATCTTCAGGCCATTACACACTTCCTGAGGGAAAGTGGAGGCAGTCTGCCAACAACTATAAACCACAGGGTTTTTCCTTATTTGTTCCTTATAGTTTTCTGCATTATAAATACTGATTTCCCCTCACTGCTAATGTCTACTGGCTCTAAATATCACGACATCATCACAACATCTGATAGACGTATCATTTGTTTTCAGGTCCTGGCTGAAAAAAAAACAACAACTGCTTGTCTCATCCTTTAAGTGCATCCCAAACATATTATTTGCATGTGACCTTGCCAAAGCCGGCATTACTTGCTGCAGCGTATTCGTGTGAACATGTGCACTAAAGGTTGATGTCGCAGACAGTCTGGCTCCTTCCTACTGACAGTGCAAAAGAGCAAGGGACCGGAACGCAGTTACTTTGTGTCCAAGTGTGTTTATAAAAAGAAAAACGGGAAACAATAGGTCTGTCTTTGCTTCAACATGACATTAACAGGAAAGACGAGGAGACACTGTCTAACAGATGGTGTTTAAATACAGGACACAGCACAGTAGGTATATAATGTATATACATGTTAAATTCATTATCGAAGAAAGACGGCTCAGTGCAATGGCCGTCATGTGGGCAGCGCAACTAACATAATTATTTGTCTTGACTTCCTCTTTCTATATTTACCAATCACACAAGTCTGCAACATCAAAGTGTGTTTATGTTCCCCTGAAAATCCCAACACCTTCATTCATCACTCATGACCAGGCGCAACCTCTGGACGAGAAAAAAATACGCTCATGTGACCAAAATGAAAGTCAAGGATGGAGAAGCAGCTCTAGTGAGGAAGAAAGGGGAAAAAAATCATCTCTTTAAAAAAAAAAAAAAAAAAAAAAAAAAAACAAAACAAAACATGGTGAAGCAAAGATGAAAAGAGAAAGTCAAACAAATAAGGAATAAATAAGGATCATCATGCGCACCCAAAGGTAATTTCTTTCTAAATTCTCCATTTAGTTACTGTAAGGAAGAACCACAATAAGCCAAGATGTAGATTTTCTAAACAAGGCAAGTACAGCTCAAAGTGTGTTCACCTGACCAGACACACACCAGCTAATGAGTGGCTAGTGTCATGTGACTGGATGGGAACTATATTGCACTGAAAAATATTTCAAAGTTGCAAAAACTAAAGGTTGAGAAAATATTGCCTATTTGCAAAATAATCATAACCAAGCATCACTGGCTCACATTTTCACTTTGGGCGTGATGAGGTGTTTGTTTCCTGTACCTGATTTTCAGCAGCGCTTTATGAACATGGATACACTTCCCATCAACCAAGAACTTCAGGTCTGAAATCTCTGGGCTGTCAAACTCCTTCTTCAATGACTGGGCCACGGTCAGGTAGTCGTCGCCATCTGATGAAAATACAGAACATGCGTTTTTTTTTTTTTTTTTTTAAGAAGGAATAAATACCAAAATGTTTTCTGTTAAATGAGGCCTGTCTTCGAAACACGACAAGTGCTACATTGTGTGTTATGTCTATTTTACAGCCCTGTAACTTGCGTATTTCACTGTAAAGATAGAGCCCCTATGTACAGGGTTCTCAATACATTCATTTATTGAAATCCTAGAAACGACAATGTAAAACGATGTCTTTAGACCCTCCAGATATGACTCTTATTGGTCGACATTACAAACAGGGAATCACAAATCTAATTGGAATCACTACTTGTTCCTCAGGCATGACAGTTGAACAGGTAACAACAGAAAATGATTGCACTTATGAGAGTGCTGATGAGTTCAGTGGCTTGTTTGTTAAGAGAAGGATGTCATTAACTCTACAGAATGAAGAATAAACAATAAGACAAGATCTCAAGGTGAAATGTTTATCAGCTTGAGCTGAGCTCAAATAAGATCAAACAGCAGATGGATGATCGTTGGAAATAAACAGGAAAGAGAATTTTCCTGTTTATTTCTTAGACCACTTCTAGGAATTTGTGCCTGACACACAGATATGCGCCCACAGCATAGTATGATTACCACTGACCAGTCACAGGATCAAAGGGTCAATGTGTCAAATGGTTAGCAAAAGAATAATCCTTGATTATTGGGGATGTCTGAGTTCTGGGGCTCTCCTTCAGTTCTAGAAATCTTTATATTCTTTCACCATGCTTACCTACTGATAGGAGGTGCCATGTGACTGCAGGTGTGGCGAAGCACGCAAACACATCGTCTGTGCTGCTGAAATGGGTGAGGTGGGGGCTGGCCACAGCTTGACCTCGACACTGACCCCACATCAGAACCTGCCCACTCTGGGTCTTGGCAGCAGACGTGTGGCTGGTGTGACATGCAGCCACCTCCACCATCCTAGTGACAGAAACACATGATGTTTCTACATGATGTTTTACCATGTATGCCTTTGAGGCATTTAACGACTAAAGAATGCATCTCACAGGATGTTGTCATGCGGCCCTTAGTGACCTGTTGAGACGGCAGAGAGGTATCGCTGCCGATTTAGGCCGGGGTGTGAACAAAATACTAACCTCTCCTTGTCTGTGTTTATTTGAGTGGGGAGGGCTTGGTTACTCTTATTTCCTGTTCCCAACTGCCCATATGAGTTGGCTCCCCAGGCGTAAACAAAGCCCTCATCTGTAAGCGCCAATGTATGTGCATATCCACAGGCAACCTGCATAAAGAGGAAAGAGTGTGATTAAGCTGAATGTTGACTGAAATAAATAATTTAAAAACAGAGCCTCATAAGAATTCTATCCCTCTCTTTCTCTCTCTCTCTCTCTCTAGGCTCTCACCTGGATGATGTTGACACCTTGGAGAGCAGCGATCCTGCACGGTGTCTGCTGATTTCCATTGTTGCCCAGACCTAGCTGTCCATTGCAGTTGTAGCCCCAACCATAGATCTACAAGACAATGCACACACTGCATCAAGGCATTGACTCACTTTCTTTTAGTAAACTGTTTTCTGTGCATTGCATTTACTGCAAACTGTGATGACTACTGTCTTCTTGGTGGAGAAAACACAGCAACTTTACCATTATATCTTATATTATTATCGTATATTACATATATTTGCAATATGTCATGAATTATATTAGAAATTAGATATGCCCCTAAAAAAAAAAAAAAAAAAAAAAAAAAAGTAAAAACAATAAAAAGGTGAGTGATGCATCTAATGTACAAACGGCTTAATTCATGAATATCTCAGGTGTGACACACATTTTTTTTTTTTTTTTTTTTAAACCAGACTTCCCCTTAGTTCTGGGCTGCTGACTGCCAAAAAGTTAACTGACTGAGAGCACTGATTCACTTATTCATGTTCACATCTGCAGATTGATGTGACCCATTACCTCTCCATTGTCCAGAACAGCCATAGAGCAGAGCTGCCCGCAGGCAATGTTAACCACCACTTTGTTCTGCAGGCAGCTGCTGACCCGACGTGGTGTCGGCTGGTTGGCAGTGGACCCTGAACCGACTTGGCCTGAGTTGTTGTAACCCCATGCATACACCTGAACACGGAGATAAAATTATCACTGTCCAAAGAAACACACAGAATAAGCAGAAAGAAAACTTCGGTAAGAAGACAGCCGAGGATAAATCACCTCTCCGTCAGTTGTGAGGGCGATGGTGTGGTGAGAGCCACAGGCCACCTCTGTCACTCTCTTGCTAAGGAGGTTGGTGGACACCAGGGCAGGGGTCAGTCCGTGGTTGGTGGTCCCATTGCCGAGTTGGCTGTAGCCATTGTGGCCCCAAGCAAATACCTCTCCATCTGCACGGCAGCAGGCAAACTTTTATTCATGTTGTCACAGTGGTTAATGTTTTATGAAGAGAAAAAGAAACAGCCACATAATCTACAGCACAGACTCAGCACTACTCTCATTAGCAATGACAAGGGAAGTCAACATTGTGTTTAACTGGCATTTTATGAACATGATGACTTTAATGTATTTGCAGAAAAAGCACCAGAAATACAGCAAACAAAGAGGTAGCATGCTAGCACAGATCACACCAGTAAGGCAGCAACTAGCATTTATTTTGTATTATCAATTACTGTAATCTTTTTGTTATATGACATATGTCATTTTTAATTATATTATGTCAAATATGATGTTTCAGAAAATGGTAGCAAAGAATAAATGACTTGTCTTTTTGATGTCAAAACTAATCATGATGGTTAAGGACTGCCCATTTCACAACCCAGTGGCAGTACCTGGAATAATGGAGTCATAACGGGTTGCATCTCCCCCATCCTTTTTATCATGGGAATGAATTTGCTCATAACAGCCCCAGGGAAGGCAAAGACAATGGAGACCAGCACCTTCCAACCTCCAATGAGAGGCTTTATGGACAACCTAACCCCAACAACTTCATCCCATGTACAAGCATCTGGAGGCACCTGGTGACCTGGCAACATGAGCAAGAGTTACATTCAAAAAAAGGAAGTCAAGAAGCACGGTGACCAGAAATGGGAAAGTGGCCAGTAAGTTCCAGCTCCAGGTCCAGGTGATGGTTGTTGAAGCAATGGGGGAAAGCAGGCCCAAGGCAGATGAGAGACATGATCCAAGCAGAGGTCTTTCACCTGGAGGAGGAAGGGCGAAGATCAAGGGCAGCGGAACTTCACAGGTGGGGATGAGGGAGGACCCACTGTGCAAATTATGCAGAGAGAGAGAGGCACGCTGGTGCACATACTGGTGGCGTGCAAGGCTGTACTTAGCCAGGAGCTATACAGATGGCGTCATGACAAGGTGCTCAGAGCACTGGCTGACATCTTGGAGCATGAGAGACAGAAATTACACACATAAGACCAGCCCCATCAATCCAGTTCATCAGGGAGGGGGAGAAGCCAACCTCCTGCAAAAGGACAGAGAAGAGCCTCCTGCAGCTGCCACAGTCTTGGGGGATGAGGTGGACCTGGGAAGAAAAGTACACTTTCCCCAGGTCGTCCAGACATCCTTGAGGCCTAACATAGTCATATGGTCTGAGGAGGCATCACGATTGAACTGACAGTCCCGTGGGAAGATGGATGCGAACAGACCTCAGAGAGGAAGGCCACCAAGTACCAGAACCTGGTCCAACACTGCAGGGACAAAGGCCAGACTATTTCCAGTTGAGGTTGGTTGCAGGACTTTTTCCAGTGCAGTCTGTGTGGAAGACGCTCACAACTCTGGGAATAGCAGGAAAGATTTGAAAAGGCACACACCTGCCTATATAAGGTCTCACAGCTGACAATGCACAGAGGAAAAACCAAGCCATGAAGTAGAAGGAGCTGCCTGCAGAGCTCAGAGACAGGACTGTGTCGAGGCACAGCTCTGGGGAAGGCTACAAAAACATTTCTGCTGCATCGAAGGTTCCCAAGAGTGTGTTACAACCAGGACTCTTCCTAGAGCTGGCTGCCAGGCCAAACTGAGCACTGATTGGGCCTGTAAGGTTTTCATTAAATACATTCTGTCAACTTTTTGATGCAAACTAGTTTCCCATCAAATTAAACTGCATTACACTGAACTGTTAAATGCTAGCGTACAAGCCAAACACTTGTAATTTCTTAATAAAAACTGAGAGTAACATGCTCTAATAAATATTTTGACTTTTTTAAGTATCATGCATGAACATAGGGGATTTATTTTTTGATACAATATTTGAGCGAACAGCACAGCATCATCATAAAACCAGACTTGAGACATCTGCATCTGTCATCTTGTTTGTCTGTGATGTCATTCCTCTGCCTCCTGAGGAAATTTTGCCCTTGGGCGACAAATAAAAAGTTTTCTGAACTGGATTACCTGCAGTGGCGATAACCACATGGGGTCCTGTTCCATAGCTTAGGGACACAATCTTCTTTCCACACAAGACATCAATCCTGCGCGGCTCAATAGTGCTTTGAAGGTCTCCGAGCCCTAAACAGCCGCTGCAGTTTGTGCCCAGAGCAAAGACCTGCAAATACCAAACATCACCGCTGAAATGCTCCTGATATTAATAAATGATTCATAAACGCAACAGTCTGGTGTGTACTGATATATGGTAAATACCTGGTGAGTTTACATGCTGAGAGGAGACTAAATAGCAACACTCACTGGTAGGATTATAATTTAGTTTTAAAATAATGGAAAAGCTCATTCAGTCTTCAAAAATATTTTCATTAGCAATTCATTTGTCTGTTACTGTTTTCATTAACTGTCTGTAAAGGCTCTAAAATGTCAAAAAATAGAGAAAAATAACTAACTTCCCAGTGCAGAGATTTTGATGATTAATTTTGTGTCGAGTGATTAACTGATTAATGGACTAATCATTCCAGCACTATTTACAGCCAAGTTAAACTACATCTGCAGCCAAAGTGTAATCTGTTATGAGATTCTGTTATCAAAAGCATTTAGTAGCATCTGAAGTGAAATCCACCAAAATGCTTTTTTTTTTTACACCGCAAACCTCTGCACTGAAACATAAACTGTTTGGACTACAGGGACAAACAAATGAGCAAGGGTTGAAAAGATGAGGCACGCTCTCCACCTTTCCACGGGATAAAAATGGAGCTTGCTTGGGTATTAGGGCAGTATGGCTAAAGATAGCCTCATTCTATCTGCTTATCCCAGTGTCTGGAACTGCACCTTGTATCAACCAGAGAGTGAGAGGCCTGAAGCATTTTTCTAACCACTTCTAAAAAGAAAAAAATATCAAACCAGTATTATTAAAAAAAGGAATTGAAATCTATTGAGTGTTGCAACACGTCTTCATGTAAACAAAAGGATTAAAGCCCAAGTGTTACCTCATCATTAACTGTGACATAGAGGGCTTCGTTTGCAGCGCTGCCAAAGACACAAGCCTGCCGGATAAGCCGTAGTTCCTCAGGAGGAAGGAGTGCAAACACTGGCCACTTCCCCACGTCCAGCATAATACTGAGCTATGAAATGAAGAGAAAACACAGTTAAAACAAATGTGAATATTAGACATTCAGACATTTTCATGTTTTAAATATAATGCACAAAAGCTGGAATTGTGGGAAAAGGTCTTAGTGGAAAAGTTTGAATCAAAAATCTGCAAGAGCTGTTATATTGTGTGTTGTCTGCATTTATTCTTTTAACATGTGCATGTTTCCTAAGTGTTGTACTGTGGGTTTTCTATGAAAGAATGAACTGATTCATACGGAAAAGTAAAATGCTGAGTCACAGTCACGCACAAATATGCTGAAGCCGTCATGTTAAAGCCATTCCTGCTCCAGTCAATAAATCCTTGACTGCATGCAAATCACTCTGGTTTTATATAATAGTTATTAAAAAACGTCTGGCAAAATCAGACCAAGAGAAGGTCACAGTAGAAACGCAACGTCCGTAGCAACAAATGCATGAACTGAAAACTGAGTGGATAAATTATCCACTAGATTTTCAATATCTCATAAGTGCCCAGGGACACAGACAGCTACTGGGCACTGAGCCCAGTTTGGTAGACAGATTAAAACATGTATGTGTATTGACAGGGGTAAACCCATTAACTTGTGTTTACTGACAGAATGAGTGAAGTCCAGGTTATGTTGCCTCTACTTTTTTTTCTTCTGCCATATGTAAAGCCTAACACAATATTTCCAGAACAAAGGCTGAACCATGTTTCAAGATTGCACTCTTATTTTTAATTTAGATCATGATGTTCTCAGGGTGGTAAAACCAAACCACACAAATGGATCTTTAATAGATTAGCTTAGCTCAGTTTTTTCCAAGATCAATACATGCTCATAAAACCTACTTATCTCTATGTGTAGAGCTGCCTCCCTCCAAACTCATGTAACAATATTTAACAGGCATACTGCCTGTTAAATATGACAAACAAACACACACCGGGTGCGTCTTTTTGTCATAACTAACCAATCCCAAGTTTCAAATATGACCTGCTTTATCCTAAGTCACAGTTATATCTGACAAAACCACAATCATTGTACCTCAATGAGCAATAACATGAAGTTGCACTTAGCAAGAACCCACGCCTCATGGACGCCTCCCCTCCCCAACCACACAGCTTATTTGAGCTGTTCAACACCTCAGATCGACAAATGCTAAAGAGGAACGAACAAACAAACAAACAAACAACGCAAAAAAAAAAAAGCTAGGCATGTTGCAGCCCGGGTTTACAAGCTAACAACATAAAGGTTAAAGTCGTATAGCCATTAGCGGTAACTGTCAGTTAGCACAGTGCTGTCCAGCAAAAATACTGTCGAGCTAATTAGCCTAAGAGTGTTGTTGCTGCTGGGAGCCGCCGATGGCTCAAACTGTTGACATTACCTTGCTGTTGTTCTAGCTAGTGTTTCGTCCGCGATGTCGTTTTCTAATCAACAGTGAAACTGAAAAATTGTCAGCCAACATATTTGGCGAATCAAGTTGATGATGAAATCATCCCGACAGTCTCATATGCTAAAACTTCTCATCAGTTGATGTAGTTGCACCTTGTTGTAGTTAGCTTTAATCGCTACACCACCGACTGAAAAACACCACCTCCTTACTTCCTGTAGTTCGATGGTGCGTTCACTGATAATCGGAGCGTGTAACTTCTATTGTTTATCATTTGTTATTTATTTAATTCCTATTTATTACTTATTTATATGCATCTATAGACTCTTCTCATTGGAAGCCGCAGAGAAAACAACAAAAACAAATGCTAAGAGGGGAAAAAAATGACACTTGCAAAAAACGGTTGTTGTCAGTCCGTCTCAAGGGCTCATCAGGAATTTTGTTTTATTTTCAATCGTTCTGTGGAAGGGAACTCCTTTTCACTTTGAATTTCACTAACTACTGTGGCAGGAGACGCATGGTATTCCTCTATAGTGTCCAGCAGGTGGAGCAGTGGAAAGGCCTAGTCTTAGTACATGTCAGTGTCAACACGCACTTGTTTGTCCCAAGCTTTAAAGACACTGATGGGACATGCTCTTATTTTAAAATAAAATCGTATGTATTTGGTAAGTATCATTTGTGTCTTTGGAAATAAACCACGAGGACATATTCAAATGCATTTCTATTTTCATGTGCACCTTTTGACGAATAAATAGTAGCTCAATATACATCATCACCCCCAGCCTGTTGTTTTGCGTGTTTTTCGTGTCCACATAATTGTGTATAGATACATTTTTTTGACTTAAGGTTGTGCTCTAACAATTGTACTGCTAAACTGTGTGTAAGTTTAAGCCAGAGTCTGACACTGCAGCAAATCATGAAAGGTAAAGGGAGATTTAGATTTCCTTTAATGGTCATTTCTATGCATTAAGATAGATAAAAAAGAAATGACGTTCCCCTTTAAAACACCAGACAAGCAAAATTAAGTGCAATAGTCAATAAATAGAATGTATATTATTTGCAATAAATATGGTTGGTAAAAAGGTAATGCACAATAAAATATGTGTAGACCTAAAATGTAATTCACATAAAAACAATGAATTTGCTTGAAAATGGGTACTGCAGTTCTGGATTGTGACTGATGCATTTTTTGTGATGTTCCCTGTCAAACCACACTGTCAACTTCCTGAGACTTTGTAATAATTACAAGGTAGAGCCAAAGAAATTAACGAGCATTTGTGTAACAAGGCTTTCTACCTTCGACTTTACACCTGTCACATATGAAAGACATTACAATTTCATATGAGATAGATAGATAAGTTTATTTAATTAAAAATGCAATGTTAAAGACAATGACAGTTTACATATTTGTACTTAAAGTAATTCTACTACCCTACAGGAAACAGTAAAAATGAATGAACAGTAATAGTAAAAGCAATATGATGCTATTAAGGTGGACCGATAATTTCCAATAAGAAGCTGGCTACTGTTCAGCATTGTTTCCGTACATTTGCGACTCAATAGTGCAAGACTGAGTCTGACAAGTTCGCACTGAGGTGAATCAAAAATGATTTTATCGCTTCGCCACTATAGTACACGTTTCTCTGAGACTGACTTGCTGGACGAACCGATCACAGACACGTCAACCTTAAGGGTTTCCTTTAAGTCATGAAAATGTACGAAGCCATATGAAGTTCATTATCAGTGTGCAGGATATCGACTACGTCACGGTACCAACCAAATTAGACAAATTGTCAAGATTAGAAATGTTTCTCCTCTCTATCTTGGAATTTGGGATTCGTCATGATTTGCTGTAATACGCATGCGCAAAGAGCCCTGTAAGCGATGGCGAAATTCCTGCCTTTTATGCAAGGAGCAGGGTTGGATGGAAAGTTATCTCGATAAAATTGGCAATTCCGCTGACGTTATCGACACTTAGCATCGTCACTGTCGCTCGCTAGTTACTTCTATTTGTTTTAGGTGTAGTTAATACAAGCGATCGTCGTTCATACTAGGAGAAAAGCACATCTTCATCTTGCTAACTATTAGCTGGCCAGCATTAGGTAGCTAACGCTAGCATGTCACATTTTGCCTTGCCCTGTGTTTATCTGGGTAGCTAGCTAGTTATCCGTCTCAGGTGTTGCAGAAAGTAGCTGGTCATCGGAGCCCGCTGACGTTCAACATTTGGGGAAAGAGCTGCAGAGGAATCATCATCACTGTGCATCGGCGTGTCAGTCAACACTGCTGCTGCTGTGCCGACTGACTGAGTGAGTAACGTTAGCTGCGCTATTGGTAATAACTCATCTTGTGGTGCTGACAGTCTGTCTCTTAAGGGAACTCGAAATAAACATTAAGGTTACCGTTTGTGAATGAGCTGACTGCAGTGTTATACTGCAGTTAGATAAGGGACAGCCATGACTTAACGCTAAGCATACACACCTGTAGCTAGAGTAAACAGTTGTCTTGGCTGCAAGGTAGCTAACCTAGTTAACTTAGCTATGGCAAATACGGAACATTACCTTTGAACATTGACTTTAGTGTTAATAGTGCGTCATGTTAAACATAATTGACATACCTGGTAACAATGATATTAAGAAACTAAGTTAAGCTAAGTCACCTACATGCACTAAATGGATAGCCAGCTGTTGCACAGTGTGAAGGTGACTGGCATAAGAAAACATTTCTCCAGGTGTTCCTGCTAAATCTCCACTCCATTAATGTGTTGGTTGAAAACAGGATGTTTTGTAGTTGTTATTACAAACTGGCAACCAAAATTTCCAACTCATTGTACACTTGAGGCTTTTATCCCTCATCATTATTATCATATATTTTATGTTTGCTTTTGTCTGATTCTTAACATGAGGAATAAGCAGAAGTGTTGTCTAAACAGAATAGTCTATTATTCTAACCATTCAGGGTGTGTGTGTGTGTGTGTGTGTGTGTGTGTCCCCCCCCCCCCCCCCGTTTCACTAAAACTGTAACTGAGAAACAGCTGTTGTCCTTTTCAAATGCTCTCTTGGCCACAGTCAAATATGATGTAAAATCAGGGCAACAACAGATGTTACCACAATTTCGATATAGAGGTAATGTTTATTTTACTGGAACCACAGCTGGTGTTTTTCACTGGTTTTTACTAGGAGGCTGTGGTGATTTCTGATTATTTATCAACAGCTTTTATAGCCACATATTTACCTAGAGAAGGCAAAGGAATAAAAAGGGGAAAGTACCAACACCGTAAAATAGTAACATGGCTGTTAGAGCATTCAAAACAATTTAAAATCGCCCATTCACCCTCTTAAAATGACATCATATTTGGAAAAAGTTGTGTGTGAAAATCTTAATTTCCTGTGTGAGAAACGAATTCCACTTTGAGCTTTACCAAAGTGTGTGAAAGGTGGGTAGTCAGGGGCAAATGCAAAGAAGAGAAGTGCCTGTGACCAGGGATGCCCCCCTCCTTGTGCTTCCTCTCCTTTAACTGACCCCCACGTAGCTGCTGTGAGTGTATTCTTAGTAAACAATTAAAAAAAAATGAACATGAGTTTGCTTGAAATTGGCTTAGAGTAATATACCAAGTGATTGGAGTGACTGACTTGGAGGCCTAATGACTACAGAAGGAGGCTGCCGTCATCTAAAGCCTGCGAGTAATACTGGGCTAATCTCATGTCAGTCCTCTACTGCAGCAATAGTTCCCTCAAATCCAGTTCATTGACCATCACACTGTAAACTGACTTTGTTGTTTAAGCTTAAGGAGGGGAGGGGCTAAAGCTAACAGATAAGCCAGATCACTGTCAGGTATAGGGGCGCATGCGCTAGATTGTAATTAGGTTCAAGGACACATGTTACATTTCTCTCATGGTGTTTCTGTTTTTTTTTTTTTTTTTTTTTTTTTTTGGCAGAATTTTTGTTAACCATGTCATCCTGTTGCAACTGTTTTCACTAGCGGTTAGTCCTGAATGTGGCCCTTTGCCCTCTTAGTCTTATTTCATTCCAGTGTCTGAAAAGAAACTCTGTCTTTTCTGGATACTCTCATAGTTTTTGATTTGACATGAGCCTATGTACAGTATATCTCTCTTGGTTGCTCTGCACTTGTTGATTGCTTGAATTTAGTAGACATAATACAGCACCATGGTCAGCTTTTGGTTATTGTCTTGTGTGAGGAAGTTTCTTTTAGGTTGCGTCACCACTCAGAGGACACATTGTAGGCTGCTTCAAACAAGCTTCTTCTTGAATATATCATGGCTCATGGCTTGCCAATTGATTTTATGATTTCATATGGACTATACAAGTATCATGTAAATGGAGCATGCAGTGTAGACAAGTACCAAACAGGAGTAATCCACAACATTCACTCCCACGACGGCACAAATGGGAGTTTCCAATGACTTTTGCCCACATGGCATGTTTTGCATCCAATAAAAGAAAATGTATCAACCCTCTCTTTGGGCTGTGATCAGGCTTGTTTAGTTTGGATGGAACAGCTGGTCTGACCTGGCTGCTCACTGATGCCATCAGAAAATGTCTTTCAGAGTAAGCAAGTGGGCTGCTCTGCCACAAAATGTGCCAGTGCATGACTGGCTGTGGAAAACAATGAATGGGTTTGGAAATGAATTATGATGTGCGTCAAATTCCCACTCAGTGAGATTCAGCTTGTCACTAAGTCCTCACTGGAAACAATAGTGCATTTAAAGGTTATTTGCCTCATGCCTGGTGTCTTTTATGCTAGTGGAGACAGACTTTTAAATCACTAAATGGACCTTAATATCATAAAATAAAAATGAAAATTCCACTAGTAATGGAGGATAGCAGATGTGTGTGCGCCCTGTCGCCCAAGCCTCATATTCTAAAAATATTAGAATGTTTTTGTCTTTAGTATTTGTCACTCTGTAATAATGGTTTTTATATAAACGCAATACATTTGCAGCATACTTAGAAAACAACAGATGATCCTATCAATTTATAATAATCTAGAATAGATATCCACATACATCCATCCCTTCATCTAGCCATTATTTCAGCCATCCAGCCTTCATTTTCATTACGAGAGAGGAGAGAGAGAAGCCCAGAGAAGCCCCATCCTGTGGACATTCTTAGTAAATGTAGCACTCAGCACAGGTCTGATGACAAGACAATGATGCC